GGGGGCGGTTCCGGGGGTTTCTTCTACCTGTCGGTGTTTTGTGGATGCTGCTTTTGCGCCGGATAGTGGTAGGGTTGCTTTTGGGTGTGCTCTATTTTCTGCGACGAACTGTTTTCTTGCTGCTATTAATGGGGAATTACTATGTTCTCCGGACCCTCTTATGGCGGAGGCTATGGCGTGTCGTGAGGCTCTATCATGGATTAAGACGCTTGATATTCATAACGTGGAGATCTTGATGGATTGTCAACGTGTGATTTCGGCAATTTCAGATACTTCTTTCTCTCTTACTTCTTATTTTGGTTCGTTAATTGTTGAGTGTAAGGCCTTGTTGGTCGGTTTTTGCTCTAGTTCCATCAGTTTTGTTCGTAGAGAGTTAAACGTTGTTGCTCATTCTCTTGCGAGGAGAGCAGAGGCCCGTCGTTCTGTTTGGGTTTCTACTCCCCCGGATTTTGTAATCCCTCTTTTACGATAATGAAGTTTCTTTACTTTCAAAAAAAAGTAAAAACACTAGTTCATAAAGACTTAATAGTAAATTTGAAGCTAAAGGCTTAATCCCAACAATGATGAATTTAACAAAATATTTATCAAACAAAGCATTAAATAAAATACCCATGCACAAAGACTTAATGACCAACAAATTTTGTTCCAATAATTGCACTACAAACACTTAATTCTTGGATTTTCTTAGTGAAGATTGTATATATTTCCATTTTCAAAAATTACCCAATTTATGTGTATTCATATCTTTATAATGCCTTGACCAATCTTTCATGATCAATCTTCAATTACCTACATAAGACTAAAATATAATGACTTTGTCAATATAGGACTATATATTTTTATTTCTCAATGTAGGACCATTAGTCATTATCCATTAGTCATTATTCAAGTAAATGTCCACCATCTCTGGATATTATTCCCAATATAGGACCAAAACATAATGACTTTTCCAATATATATAGGATCATATGTTTTTATTTTCCAATGTAGAACTTTTGGTCATTATGAATTAGTCATTATTCAAGTAAATGACCGTCATTACTGGACATTATTCCTCCCACTAAGACATTAATAAGTCCTATTTACGTAATAAAAATGTTTAAGTCTTAGATTAGGAAAGTCATTATGTTTTAGTCCTATTTAGTGAAAATTTCACTTTTAACAAACATCGTACATGTATGTACCGATCTAGGATAAAGCTATTTGTACCCCAAATTTTTGTACTCCACTTTGTACCCCGCAGGTTTGCACCAACATTTTGTGTTGGTGTAAAGCTCATTTTTATTAATGCACCGACACTTTATGTCTGTGTAAATTTTTGTTAACGCACCAACACTTGGGTCGGTGTAAATCATCAAAATGTTTGTATATAACTGTGGGGTACAAATGAGGTATAATTTTTAGTGTAAGTGTAGCATGGTTCACCGATCTAACTACATGAATGCCAATTTTGTTGATTTCCAGTGCATATTAAAGTCTGTCAAACATAGGATTTTTTTTTTGAAACATCAAACATAGGAATTAAAACAACTTACTCGCCCTAAAGAAGTGCTCTTCACTCAGGGCCGGCACCGAAAAATGAAAAAAAAAATTGGACCGGTCCAAAATTTACATTTTATGCCCTATTTTATATTTTTAGAATATTTTTTCTTTAAAATTATTAACAAATTAAAAAATATGGTACCCTAAATTTTAAGGGCTCTGTGCGGTTGGACACTTGCACACCCTCCGGGCCACCCATGTCTTCACTAAATTCATTCTCGACGCCATTGATTTGCCGTTTGGGCTCTTCATGATCGCTAAGCATCAAACTTCTCTTCCAATAGAACCTTAACTTAATTGTGTAGTAATGACTTAGAAGCATGTTGGGTTAGAAAAGTGTGCCTAGATGGTAACTACGACCGCAATTTTTGCGGTTCCTAACAATAGCAGCGCGTGGATGCCATATCTCTTTAATTAATGTGGGAGGCTATTCTAGTCATTATACATGCCCAAACGTGTAGTCAAATAGGACTACTCCTATTTACGGAAATACACCATCTTTTACTTTTATTTCTGTAAATTTCTCTAAACGTAAATATGAGGAACAAATTTTTCCCAATTTGAGATATCCTCAAGAAAATTGTGAAGCCACTTTGGATGTTCTGCACACTTGTCTATTGCTATAAACTCAGACTTTGTAGTGGCTCTAAATTCAGCTCCGTTCTTTTGAGCTTGAGATTGGTTTGGAAGTCTTCCCAAGAGCGTGGGAGTTTGTGAATGATGCCCGCCACTTGGAAGGCCTTATTCACGCCTACTTTCTCTTCATTGTAAAAGTGATAGTGTAAATTAAGCACCGGGTAAAAAGCACTGGGCCAGACATAAGATTGTTTACTCAATTCGAAAAATTGAAAGATAGTAAATGCAAAGGTTAATTGGGAGGACTATAGGTAGAAACACCGGTAGCTCAATTGTTATTGAAATATAGTAAAGTGCATGGCAATCCATTCTTTGAGGGTTATACAGGCATTCATTAGGAAAGGGAGGGGACAGAGTGTCGCGCGTCCACATCGATCCATGTTGTTTGATGGTACGAGGTCGCTTCCCCTTTTGTCTCGTAGCATTTTGTCTCATTCCCTTTGCGTTTTGTGCTGGTGATTCCTTTTTCAGCGCGTAGCGTTCAACTGAGATTGGGAGAATATTTCCCAAACCTCTCGTTGCAAATCGGTCACTACTGTTTAAACGATATTGGAGTTATTTGTGCCGTCACTTTTATATTGTAGAAACCTACCCGGTAGGTTTGTCTTTTATGTTTTAAAAGGTCAGAAATTTTCCAGCTTGAAGTTATATACCCTGACCGGTTGGTTTATATACGACATCTGTCAACTTTTTCGACTTTAGCCGGTGTTCTATTTTTAATTTAAATCTTCCATGTTGTCATGTTGGTTACTTTATACGGACTAATTTCGGACCGAGTTCTAAGTGGAATACACCCGTCAATATCAAATCAGATCAGATCAAAACTTCAAAAGTTTTGATCAGATTCAATTAGATCAAGCATACGAAACAAAGCCTTAGCGCTCTCAGAGACCCAAAACTTGTGGCCATGTTTTATGTGGATTCCTTGAATTTTAAAACGCCTAGTTCCCCGAAGGACCATCGGAGGCTCTAGGGGTGTAAACAGATATTAATCGGATTGAATGTGTCATTACCATATTCGTATCCGTTTATTTTTATCGGATATCGAATTCGGACACAGATCTTGACGAATACTAAAAATCAAAACCGTATCCGTCAAATATCAGTCGGATATCAGATATATCCATACCTGTTTCCAATTTTTAAAGTTAAATTAAAAATGTTTTAATTTCTAATTAAGGTAAAGTCAAAATATTATTTATTCAATTGCAATTTGTTACGGGTAATTTTTTCTTATTTGTTATTATTTATAATATTTTATGACAACTCTATATGGTAAGATATACACAATACACATGCACACATATATTAAATATGTCTACACATATATTTTGCATATAAAAATGTCATATACTTTGAGGCGCCAATAGAAAAACGAAATATAATAATAATAACTCAGGAAAAATTATATATAACGGATCAGATATACGGATAAACGGTAACTTAAACGGATGTTTATGCGGAGCGAATTATAAACGGATCGGATGTACGATTACCAAATCCGTATTTTTTTACCAATCGGATATATATCATTAATCGTGTACGGATAATAATTGTTTTAACGAATGCAAATATTTTCTGTATAAACGGATACAGATGCGAATGATAATCGAATTTTCGGTTATTTATTTAGAGCCCTAGCAGACCAGGCTCCTATTGTCGAGTACGTACACTACTACTCTTATGATCCTATCTTATGCTTCTTCATCTACACTAGAAGTGCCGTTCTTTTGAAGCTTGAGCCTCCGGGAGGGACAATTAGGCTCTATTTTTTGTTGCAATTTTATGAAATTGGAAAGAATTAGAAGAATTAGAAAAAAGTTAGAAAATGTTAGAAAAAATAATATACGTGTTAAAAAATCACTTAATTAAATGATCACTCAAATAAGTATGTAAAAAATTATTTTGGGCATAAAAAAATATATCTTTATCTTTGTTTGAAATGTTATGCTATAAATTTGGATATATAATGTTATTGTATATTCATCAAATGTAAATACATTTTTTAAATCGTTGTTGAAAAAACTTGAAAAATTAGAAAAAAATGGAAAAAGTTGAAACAAACTAAAAGGATTTAGATAAATTTAGAAATTAATATTTTCATGCGAAAAGAACAAAGCCTTAAATAGTAACCCCTTCCAGTGTTTGAGTTTTTTTCTAACTCCTTCTACTTTCTTTCAAGTGTTAAAAAGTCACTCAATTAAATGATCATCAAAATGAACATGTAAAAATAACTCTAATTTTGGATTTAAAAAAATTCATCATTATATGTGTTTGAGATAATATGTTATAAATTTGGATTTATAATGTTATACTTTGCATTAATCATATATAAATACTTGTTTAATTCGTTGGAAGAAATTTCAAGGAGTTGGACGGAATTGAAAGGAACGAAAAGAAACTGAAAAGAGTTTGAAAATTTTTTTTCAACTTAAAAGACATGGCCATAGTGTGTAAACAGTACGGAAGAATTGAGTCTTTTACTAAAAAAAAAAAGTAAAAATCATATCGTCCTCCCATATAAAGTTTGAGAAAATTTAAATTTCATGTTGAATCCAACAAATAATCCATAATGAAGACTTCTTACCTTATCGTCTCAGACTCAACGTGATGTCACCCGCAAATACCTCCAAATGGCATTACCCCATTCTAATAAAGGTACGGAGTAATACAGAGTATGATTTACAATTTCTATCTTATTTTATAAACAAATTATTATTGCTCATATTTCATTTACAATACTTTTATTGAAGTAATTGATGTCAAAAAGTGTGTTGGGATTTTAAGCGCGTAAGATACTAAAAAATATTGAGAACACCAGAAAAATGAGAGAACAAACACAAGAAGAAAATATGAGAGAAACAATTATATTTCCACTATTTCAGGACAATATACAAAAAACTCTCCCCTGTTTACAAGACTAAATTTCAAATACTCATAAACAGATCTTTCCACATCCTATGCCCGGATGTATTTTTCCGAGTAACTAGAACCAGTTACTCCCTACACTCACTAACACTCACCAAGACCCCTTAGATTTTTCCGGTGGTATTCTTGTGTAGATCGGAATTCCTCTTTTTCTCTCTACCTTGGTGGTGTGTAAAACCCACACACACTTGCACTAAGAAAACCATGGCTTTTTAAAGCCAAAATAAACCGTGCAAGCTATATCATTGGCCAACAACCCAACATAATAAAGTCCAAACATGGGAAAATCAACTTGATTCCCTTCAATCCACAGATCTACACATGCATGCATCAAAGGATTATCATCACATGCCATGCATCTTCCTTTAATTCCTTTCTTTGCTACTGTTTTTTTTTTCTTCCTTTTTTTTATTTTTCTTTTCTTTTTTTTTTGAATATTTAATCAATATTTCCCAACAAAGTGTTACTCCACAATTTGAAAGGGAGCAAGTACCAATTAATTAAAAAAAATACGGAGTATTATATTTTAGCACCACATTCTTTTGACCCAGGTCAATTGACCTTCAAATGATGCAGAACATCTACAAACTTCAATTGGTGAAATTGATAGTTTCCACATCCAAAGTCCCCTCATCCTCCACCCCACCCCGATCGTCAATTTCAGATGCCCAAGTCGATAATCTGGAGGGAGGAGAGAACTTGGGGGAACAGATAGAGAGAGTTAGGGTGAACAAAAATCATCAATTTTATCAACAAAATACCGTAAATGCCACAAAATGACAAGGTTATCCTCGGATCATTTTTTGCTCGGATCAAAAGATCTTTGCCGAATTTTCTTTATTAAAAATAAAAAGGGGTCAAATGTGTAAAGGAGACTGTCATTTCCCAAATCTTCTCCCATCTGATTCCTAAAGAAAAAAGGGGAAAGCGAGGCTCAGCATCTCCGACGGGGCCACTTCACCTCCATCTCGGATTGGTAAATTCAGCCTCTTCTCCCACACTCGCGTGTACATTTCCAGTTGCTAGGCTATGTGTCTAATGCTCTAATGTTGTTTTTTAAGTGCATCTCTTTTTGCAGTAACTCAGTGCATGTTGCGATGTTCTATTATTCTGCTATATTCTATTTTAGATACATTGAGTTTGTTTTCAGAGATAAATATACCAACTGAGTTTCTTTTTGGATCCAATGTGAAAAAAAAAAACCCAAATTTTAGATCTAGAATTTGGAGACCAAAAATGGTGATGCTTTACAACTCGGCCGATGGGAAACAAAGCCAGTATAAGCTCAAAAAGCGCAGTTCTATCCCCCAATTCTTGATTCTAATAAATATGTGTTTCGTTAATCTAGGGTTTGATATCACGTGTCATAATATGACATCAAATGTTGATGCCACAAAAAAAAAAAAAAAGTACTCAATGCATTCTTTTATATCTGGAAATTCAAAGTCATTGTAGGTGCTTCTGGATCATTCTTCAACACCACTCTGTGTAATCGGCTAATGGCACTTGTTCCTCTAGCTACCAAACCTGTTTAATTGAAGAAGCACATCAACTGAAATACAGGCATTGTCATGCTCAAATCTCAGCTTACATCGTGTCATGTAAACATCTACCCATAACAAAATAAAATCATGTATTTCTAAATGAAAAATGACAACATAATATTCGGCCATATTAATTTTGAACCGCTAATAATTCAATGACATGTTTGCAATGATATTACTACCTCCGTCCCATTTTATAACGCCTGTTTCGGTTTACGATGTTTGACTGAAATTATTTTTAAACCATTTTATATGACAAATGGTATAGAATTAAAAAATAAAAATTACATATTAAAAACCTAAATCAAAAAATCTACAAAACTATTAGTGACAATAATATTTTATTTTATCAAATTGCTAACGAAAATAGAGAAAGAAAGTGAATGAAGTTTGACCCTGTGAATAGTAAACAGACATTATAATTTGAGACGGAAAGAGTACAATATTCAAGAAAGTGAATATTGTAGAAAACCAAGTAGGGGTAAGATATTCTGTCATACAGGGTAGTGTGTAATTTAGTTTCCATAATTAAGCTTAGGGGCATTTTGATAGGGTAGTATTTAATTTAGTTTCCATAATTAAGCTTAAGGGCATTTGATAGTTGATACATGTACAAAATTGTCAACCCATGCACTCATACATTGTTTTGAGATTCCAACGCATATTTTCTAAATAATCTTGGTAACACTAGATCCTCGTAACAACTATATAGTGTGATAAAACACTAAGGCCCCGTTTGGTATATGGAATTGATGGAATTGGAATTGAATTGGAATTGAAATTCCATGGGATTCATAGAATTTGAATTCATCAATTTCAATTCATTTTTGCACCGGCAATTCCAAATTCACATAATTTTTGTGCTACCAACCATCAAAATTGGAATTGAAGTCTTCAAATCCAATTCCACAGCTTGAATTACGTGTACCAAACGGGGCCTAACTAGTTAATTTTCCTCTTGTGACTGCATAACTCCTAAACTTTTATAAATAATGTATCGGCTTATCTTACTATAATTGAATAATAGGCCACAATGAATGACAAACTTGAACAATATGATCATGCAAATTTTACTAAAGTAGAAATATGAAAATATGAAACATGGCTGAACAAGCTAGAACAAATAACGAAAAGAAACTGGTGTTTGGTAAACCAACGTATTGAACACTAAAGTACTGAACAACCTCAAACAATCTGACCAATTTAGAGAATTGAAGCACAAAGTAGTAACCTAGTCCTAAGAAGTGAAAAAAATACTTTAAAACACCACTTTATAAATCAGTTTTCTTGGATTTTTCATTTAATTTATCTGATACCTAACTAACTCCAAAACTTGTAAGCTCCTCCATAACAGGATGATTCTTAAAACTTTTAAAAGAACTGCATTGGCTTATCTTACTATAAACCACTAAGCATGGGACGAACGTAATCAATACCTTTATCAGGATTTCCGAGATCATTGTAAACATCAAGATCGTAAATCCTGTCATGAATCTGGCGGACCCCACTCCCATCTCTCCTTAGATCTCTCAACTCTTCCTCAATGCCCTTAAACCTTATGGTGTCTCATGAGGCAAGTATGGCTGAAAATAAATCAATGCAGCCATTAATGGGATGTGAAAATCCACTTCTTAGGAAGATCTTTCCTGGACTGGATCCGTGAACTGCAAGGGAAATGGACCGGGCCACAAGAAAAGCCTTCGAGGGTAAAGCTGTCAAGAAAAAAACTCTTGGTGATGCTTGTTGAGTATTGGTTGTAGAGTCGCCAGCTTGGAGCAAGCTATTCAGACTTGTAGCAGTATGCAACAAACATACTGCAGGGCTGCATAGATGGTGAAGAAGCATCTAAAAATCGTTAATTCTGCTAATTATTATATCACTTCCCTTGTTTGTTTTTGCTGAATTTGGTGGATGTAAGAAGTTGTGTTGGTCTGGTTCTTTTTCACTCACTGTCAGATAGATTTAATGAAGATTTTTTACCTTTTCCCAAAAACAAAACTACTTATCCATTGCAGTACTTCATTAACACTTTTTACTTCTTCCAGGTCATATGAAGCATGGCACATCAACCCCAGGTACAAAAGAAAAACTTCTCAAACAAATTGCGAAATAAAAAAATACACGATACATTGTCATTTTCTAACATAACTTCAATTTAATTGCAGGACTTGGAGCAGTGGATGCCATTGGCAAAGCGTTCTAATCGATTTATTTTGCACGAAATACAAGACCAGATAGATGAAGGTAAGGTTTGAAACAAGTCAACAACTGTAGCATTAGAGTGAAGGGGCTCCGTGTATTCTTATTTTGGAAAAAAAACTATAGCACAGGAGTAACGGAGAAAAAATTAAGTGTATGAATATAATTCTTTTCCCTTAGATTGATCATTCTTTCTACTCTTGAACCATTCTGCTAGTAAACAATATTTAGACACTAAAAAACTATGTAAGATAAATTGTTTCATCTGTGAGAACTCAGAAGTGAATTGATTCCCTAATTCCCTATCCTTATTGGCTATATCTTTAGTTGTTGAAAGGCTACAAGACATACCACAACAGAAAATTAGGGGAAAAAATACACAATAAGATTACTAAGTATGACTGCTAACAATACACAATAAGATTACTAATTATGTCTGCTACGTGCTAACAATACACAATAAGAATTTGCATCAAATTAGTTGTTAAGAACTAACACCTATGAATAGACAAAACTCAAGTGTGGAGAATGTCACTCTTTTTTACTATTTTTTCCAAACATAAGACACAAGCTGTGATGATTATAAACATGATTAGAAGACATACTCGAAAGTTACTCAAAATGAAATGCAGGTTTTAAATACAACCTAAGATCAAATCAAGAAACTAAAGATTAGATTTAGTAAGAAAAAACTTCCCAAAGTACAGTCGATTTGAAGAGAAGACCATGTAAAACTGGAAATGTAATCCAAGAATCACAAATCTAAGAACAAGGCAATCACAAACGGACACAAATTCAAAACCAGAGAAATTGAGAAATCATGCTAAGAGTTGTTATGTAAATGTAGAAAAGTGCTAAATTTGACCAGAGCTCTTTACACCCCATTTATAGAAACATAAAAGAAATACGACCTCCGTCCCGGAGTATTTGTCCAGTTTTGACTTTTTCGGTAAACTGTTTTCAACCTTTGACCTAAAATTAAATAAAATATATATTGTATATTAATTAGATAAAATAATATTTTGAAATATTTGATATAATAAATCTAATAAAACTATTTTTTAATTAATATCTAATATCATTTTAATTTAGTTTGAAGTCAAAGTTTATCAATTTTGATTGAAAAAATGTCAAAAGTGGACAAATTCTCAGAAATGGAGGGAGTATTTAATTAAGAAATACTCCGTAATTGTGAATCTTTTACACATAAGCCATACAAACAGAAAGTATTTACTCTCCTTCACCAAAAAGTGTAATAGGAACAAATTACGTTCCAATCATGTTTCGGATTCAAGCATTCTATTTAAAAGAAGTGCAAATTTGACTTCAGACCGACTTCTAGATTCAAGCAATTAAATTTTGACGAAGAGGGAAGCATTAACTTACAAATGCTGACTTAAATTCAGAAATGCAGAGAACCTGTACATAAAAACAACCATGTGACGTTAAGAACCAAAATACCTACTACATACCGTAAATGCACATGTTCAATGCTTTAGTTCAGAATTGCTTAAGAAAATGTCAAACCATGATTCAATCGGTGAGAGTGGATTTTTCTTGTAAACATTGTTTAGTGAAAGGAGAGTAACAAAGTTGGTAGTAATCAAGAATTTTCAAATCCACAACCCTATGAATTATGGCTTTTTCAAAATTTAAAATTTGACAAAAAAGGGCATGTTAATGTCATCTGTTTTGAAAGGTTCCTTAAAAGAACATTGCATGCATGATGTTCTAAAAGAAATAAGAGTGTATGTGAGAATTCTCAGAGTAGATGTCAACATTGTAGCTTAATGAAAAAGGCAAGATGTTGGGCTTGTTATGCATGTTAAGGGTTACAGCTATTTTTCTAAAAGTATATTTAAAAAAAGTAGTGCCTAATGCTATGAATAGATCTAATAATGATGATGCAATTGTAGAATATTATGAAATTTCCAGAGAGATTTCCAGAAGAGAGATGAGTCATGAGTGCATATATTATCATGAAATCTATCCTAAGAGTATAAGATTATCTTTTCATCCTGATTTTACCTAATTACTTGACTCACTTGCATAAGAGACTCCAATTTGTGAAGTCATGAGGTGCTACAAATTGAGTCATAAAACTGGATGAATGTTCTCAATAGTGGTTGTGTGTGGTGATCTCCTAGAATGTAGTCGTGAAATGGGAAGCATCTTTGATAAGTCAAAATGGTAATAGATTTTGACTTTATTTTGATATGTGATTAGCAGTAAATAAATATACTTACCATTCTTATAGAGAAGTTGTGCGAGATCCAATTGGGCCCAACTCAATTCATATGCTAGTTAGTCTCCTTGTAGTGCTAAGAGTGCTCAATTAGCACACGCATTTCCTGTGATCAATTGATTAACCCACCAGTTAACTAAAAACACACACAAAAGAAGATGTATGTACTCTGCTACTACCTAAAGAACATGAAAAACAAACAGCGAGAGATGTAGGAATTTCATGACCTACGAACGACAAGGAATAACCCGCACAGAAAGTAGACAAAAGACTGGCCGAAGTATAGCAGAGAAATGAAAAGCGATAGCAATCAATATCGTGTATGGAGTAAATCAAATGGTCAGGGAGGCAAACTAATATACAGTGTAACTAGATAGTGGTTACGACATCCTTATCGTGACAAGAAAAACCGGAGCTCATACACTATATTTAATGTACCTCTTCAAAAGTGAAAATAAATCTGTACAAACGGTGTAGAAATGTTTGAATGAACTCTTATAGCAGTACATAACCAAGCTTTGGAACTATAGGATAAGAAGCCTCACTGTTAACAAAAGGAAGAAAGAAAGAAATCTCCACTCAATGTGAAGTTTTATTGTGAACAAATAAACTCTTGAAACCAAGTAGAAATAATGTTCTCAACTGTCTTAAGTTATCTTAGTGTGGTGCACCAGAAACTTTTACTATCCATCTATCCATCCAGCTAAAGAACCTCAATTTCTATCACCTAAAAACATATGCCAATGTAATAGTGAAACCTCAAATGTCAAGGTAATCCTTTATTTGTAAGTTCATTTGATTCACTGTTCTAATCATACACTTTTTTTGCAGCAACTTGCTTGGCAGTGGCCTCTGTAGGCACTGTTGAAGCAAGATATAATAAATCACAATTAAACAAGAAAGATTGGAGAGCTTTTTCCCCACTGTATGCCATTGACCAGACGTATAAGACCCAACATCGAGTACGCGGGACATCTTCATTCAAAGCTGTTGAACACCTGATGAAAAGAGGAGGAATATGTCTTGATGATAAATATAAGCGAGGGAAAAAAACTCACCAGGTATTTTATTAATACATTTTTCTTTTTTTGAATTTAAAACTAATACTACTTTCCAATTGTCAGGTCATCAGAGGACTTCACTTGCATATTAGAGAAGGGGTTAGAGAGGATGATCCGAATGAAAGGCTCATACTGAGACTCCTACAGGACGGACCTGTAGTGGGGGTGCTTAGAGTGGGTCCAAGATTTCAAAGTTTGAGAAAAGATGTATGAGGAAAAATAAGAAGTGATTTATTTTATTTCTGAAAGGAATTCTCTCATTTCTAATTTTTTTTGCAGGAATTGTATGAAGGAGAATATGGAGATGGAGCAGGAGCAGAATTCGGAAACCATGCCGTCATAATAATTGGCTATGGAAGCACAGCTGATGGACGACACTTCTTCTACATACGCAACTCATACGGCTACCAATGGTGTGATGAAGGGTTCGGCAAGGTTTTACGAAAAACTAGCACTGGAAGAGCCAAATCACTATTCAGAACGATATGGTATCCTGAGGACGTATCTGCACATGAATGAAGAGCTTGGAATATATCTGTTGGTATTGCAAGTAAACAATGAAAGTTCTGAAAATGACTGTTGGTAAACTACCTTTTACATACCTAGGTGCTAATATGTGCAAGGGTAATCTTAGAAAGGAACACAGCAAGAATCTTATTGATCATTTTGACAGCTTCCTCAATTCTTGGTATCATAAACTGTATGTTAAATCAGATGGGCAGGTTTATCCTTATTAAGCACACTCTTTCTTCCATTCCTTTACATATTATGGCAGTCCAATATATTCCTAGAGTTGTGATTGATACTTTAAATAGAAGAATGGCTAATTTTCTTTGGGTATACAATAATGGCGGAACCTAAATTGCATTGGAACTCGTGGAAGGATGTTTGTACCTCCAAAAGCTCAAGTGGGCTTGATATTAGGCCCCTTTCAATGGTCCAAATGGCACTCTGCTAAGCTCTGGTGGAGTGAAGAATACAAGACATGATGAGAAGTTTCAACTTGGACGGAGGGAGTAAAATGTATAAATATGTAAGCACTAAGTAGTAAGTACACACAAAGGTACTTGGACACTCAAAAACAAAGAAAAAACTTTGTATTAATCTCTCTAAGTGCTTACAATGCTCTCACTTGCTTAACTGAGTGAAATGATTGAGGGATACTTTTCCACCTCCTCAATGGATGGCTAAGATCTACTCGATCCTACGATTACAAATGAGTATTTTGATACTCTACAAATATATATCTAAGATATCTACAAAAGAAATGTCTCTACACATATCTATAATATTTCTAGAATCTTTCAGTCTTCTCCAACAAGTCCCACATGCTTCTAGTAATCTAGTGGATTCCAAACTATGCTAGACTACTGTGAACACCTCTGGATGATTTTGGAAAAGATGAGATGTATTAAAAAAAAAATATCAAAATTGATTTGCTTACTTTTGCCAAAGAAAAAAAAGAAAAAGAAAGAATAAGATGAGCGGGCTACCTGCCGGGGACAATTAGAAGCACTCTGAAGAGGATGAAGTCTTCTTCTAATTGGCAGATCGTATCCAGGAGGAACGAAGCGAGGCTTATACTTCTAAATGACAGATCGCTTGAAGTTATAATTGGCAGATTGCTTGAAGTTCTAATTTGCAGATCGCTTGTACTTCGAATAGGGCAGATCGTATCCAGGAACGAAGCGCTGCAGATTTTAGATACGATGAGCGCCGATTCCCTTTTCCAGTCAAAGTTACTCCGGAGTACTTTTTTTTTCTTCAATGAGCGCCGATTCCCTTTTCTCGCTGTCTCGCATTATCTTTTACAGAGACCATTATTAATATCACGGGCGTCGGTACTGTACTTGGATATATGTACAAACTCTTGTCTCCTACACTTACACCAAAAATTGTACCCTATTTGTATATCGCACTTATACACAAAAATTTTTATGTTTTACACCGAGACAAGTGTTGGTGCTTTAACAAAAATTTACACGAACACAAAGTGTTAGTGCTTTAACAAAAATTAGTTTTACACCAACACAAAATGTCGGTGCAAACATGTGGTGTAGTACAAAAGTTTGGGGTACAAATAGCTTTATCCTTTCTCTTGGGCTAATTTGAACTGAAATTGTTAAGGCTGATCTGATCGAAATGAAACTGATCTTAATGAATCTAATCATTTAATATAAAATTTGAGAATTTGGACTCTGAGAAGCTAACATTTGACAATACAAGAATTTGACATGTGGCAATATAATTGACATGCTATGTGGCGTAATAAGGTGAGCTGAATTTAGAGAATTATTCCCAAATTTACTTCATCTTTGATTGGTACAGAGTATGTTTTTATAGCACTAGTATTTCACGCACGGGTTCGAACGAACATTTTTTTACTCTTTATTTTCTCTTCATTGTAACATGATTAACAAATTAAACAAAATATAAATTACGAAATAAACATGTCAATGTCTTATTTAAACGTAGTATTTTATATAAAAAATTTCGAGTACAAATTTTTAGGCTTTATTTGGAAGAACGTTTTCAGTCAACGATAACATTTTGGACAAAATTTTAATACTCCATAGTAGTATACATTTATTCAAAAAAATGTTAACAATAAAAGCTATCATTACATAAGTTTTTCAAAACGCTAATATATAGTGCCGCTATCAAATAGGTCCTTAATTAAATTGTTGGCTTGTTGCTTTCATCTAAAACTAATATTTGCAATCATGGTTTTGCTTTCACTCGCTAAACAACAGCATAAAATTAACCGCGAATAGATACTTGCTAAAACATTAGTAATTGTTTTCAACATTTTCTTTTCTTTGGCACAAAGTACAATTTCTTTATGGATAGAAGAGAATAATTTATGTGAAAGTAAATCAGGTGAATTAAACCCGCTAAATTGTAGATCATGATTCCAAAGGGTGCAACCAGAACGATATGTGAGTATACCAAATCAACAACGTTCCTTCAAAAGTATACAAAAACCTTGGAAGGCATATCTTCAACCTTTGGTGAACTCAATGTGATTCGACACAGAACATCAAGGTATAGTCCCTTTTCGAAGTAATTTTGTCCGAAGGTATACCCTTTAGAGGTTAACCGCACCTGCAATAGTTATATTTGGCTTCCAACCATTGAAAGAGAAAATGTGAGTGTAGATTTCAACACCAGCCTGCAACAAACAACACTTGATCTACAGCCTTAAACTTCATCACTAATAAGAAAATAAATACACCAAGATTTTTGGGCAGCTTTGAATGAAAGAAACTTAAAAGATATCAAATACGGAGTATATATAATCGAACTACAAACAGAAGTTGCCTAGACAAACAGCATTACACTTTTCGACCGACCTTGTTAGCAACATACCCAACTTTCTTTTTATTCCACCTCTCTAATATGCATATTAAATAAAGAAAAAAAATTGGACTCCAAGAAGAGGGCAGATCATATTACACAGGCAAACACCAACCGTAATAAACTTTTCTAATCATAAAATTTTTAAAACCATATATTTCGGCTGCAAAAGCATAAAATGAGGAAACTAATCAAGTGAATTACATGTAAAACCTTAAATGCCTTTTTTACTTTGTGATTTAAAAATGGGCTATGAATTTGAGCAAAGCGAACCCACATTTCTATGTTTTCATAAGGTATTATACAATAACACATGACACCCATACACATCTCATACAGTGTGTGCAAACATATGGGTGGAAACAACAAATATGTGTATGAATTTGCATAAAATAAAGATATAATGTACCTGGGAATCCAGAGAATCTAAAATAGATTTTGGTAAAAGTGTAAAACCTTCATTGCTGTAACACATTACGATGTTCGATGAGGTTCACAATCAAGCCAGGCAACCCCCCTTTATAATTCTTCACCCAGACAACAATGCTGATTACGTTTAAACCTTCGACATGATAGGATATATGTATATAAGGTTTGGCATAAATACTTAAATAAACAATGTATAGGTAATTCATACCTCTAATTTCTCCTCAATATTGTAAACACCCATGGCAAGTTGTCCAGTCATCTTCTCAGTTTCATCATAAATAACAATGAACATTGCACACTTGGTATCATCCTTAACATAAATCTCAAGCCTATATCTGAAAAGATTAAGTAGTTACCACGTTAGTAATTTCCAATATGTTTTTCCAATGAAGCATTTGAATTCCCAATGAACATGCTTTAGCATCTGATCTAAGACTTTTCATTCGGTTCTAGATGGTCAACACCTTAGTTATTTAGTTAAAATAATAATAATAATCAATAGTTAGTTAAAATAGTAATTTCCAATATGTGGTCACTAGATCCCCAATTTTCTGACATAGTGGCTAATGTTTGGGATCAAGAGCATACAGGATACCCAATGTATCAAGTTTGCCAGAAACTTAAACAGCTCAAACAACCTTTAAAGTGTCTTAACAAGAGAAAGTTTCAACATCTGGAAACACAAATTGATGTACCCAGGGCTAGATTACACATGACTCAAGAGACAATAAGGAGTCAGAGTCCTAGTGAATCTCTGCTGGAAACAGAAAGAGAGCTGAAACAGGAATTACACCAGAAGATTAAGGCTAATTTCCTGTTAAAAAACCAGCAATCAAAGGTAGATTGGATCACGTATGGTGATCAGAATACTAAACTCTTCCATGCCTGGATCAAGAAGAGAAGACTGCAAAATCATATTTCCTCCCTAACTAATTCCTCTGGGCATAAGATGGAAGGAAAAGAGGAAGTGGTCAAAATCCTTATGGAGCATTTCCAAAAACAGCTGGGGACTAGTGAGGAGACAGAGGATCTTATCTTATTGCTGAAATTGGTAATATGGGTAAGGGACTTTCTACAGAACAACAGTTATAATTAATTTCTCAGGTGACCCCAGATGAGATTAAGAAAAGCTTATTTGAGATACCCAACCATAAAAGTCCTGGTCCAGATGGGTACAGCAGTGGATTTTTCAAGAATCAATGGACAAAAGTGGGACCCCTGTTAACTAAGGTCATTCTACATTTCTTCCATATGGATGATCCAGTAAAACAAATTAATGCCACCAATATCACTGTCATCCCTAAAAAGGAGACCCCTATCAGCCCTAATGATCTCAGACCTATAGCCTGCTGTACAGTCTTGTACAAAATCATAGCCAAGATCATTTGTGGAAGGTTAAAGAAAGTTCTTCCAACTATCATAAACCTGAACCATGGAGCCTTCATAAAAGGCAGAGAGTTGGTCCACAATGTATTACTATGTCAAGAATTGGCAAGGGGGTATAATAGGAAAAATATCTCTCCTCGATGTCTTATGAAGTTGGATCTTCAAAAAGCATATGATAATATCAGCTGGAAGGCAATAGAGCAGCTCCTAATAATGTTCAAATTCCCTTCAAAGTTCATCAAATGGATTAACTTCTGTGTCACAACGACTTCTTACTCCATCCAATTTGAAGGGGAAAATCATGGATTCTTCAAAGGCAGGAAGGGTATTCGACAAGGTGATCCAATTTCTCCCCTCTTATTTGTATTAGTCATGGAATACCTTACCAGAGCTCTCATGTACTATGCAAAAAAAGAAAGCTTCTCTTACCATCCAATGTGCAAAGCTGTGAATATCATTAATATTGTGTTTGCTGATGACTTGATTGTGGCCTGCAAAGCTGAGGAAAATTCTGTCTCATGTATTATGAAGGCTCTAGACCACTTCAAGTGTACTACAGGGTTGTTTGTGAACAAATCAAAATCAGAGATCATATTCGGGGGGACTCCTAAGGCTCTGGAAGAAAAGATTCTGCATATTACCAACATGAAGACAAGCAACTTCCCCTTCAGATATCTAGGGGGGGCCATCACCCCTTCTAGAATTAGTACCAAGGAATGTGACAAGTTAGTGGAAAACATGACCACAAAAATATCTGCCTGGTCTGCCAAACACCTCTCTTATGCTGGGAAAATCAATCTAATTAACTCAGTTCTGTATGGAATCATAACTTTCTGGAGTAGGATGTTTCTAATCCCCACAAAAGTAATGAAGAAGATTCAAGGCCTGTGCAGAAATTTCTTATGGAGCTCTTCCTCTGAATATAAGAAAACTCCACTAGTGGCCTGGGATGATATCTGCACACCCAAGAAGTATGGCGGATTGGGGTTTAAAAACCTAGTATGGTGGAATAAAGCATGCATCATGAAGCTGATCTGGGACATAGCTCTTAAGAAAGATATCTTATGGATAAAGTGGGTGCATACTAGATACCTTAAAGACCAATCCATCTGGACCTGCCCCCCCAAAACAGAATCTTGTTACTACTGGAAGAAATTACTTAAAACAAGAGATGACTTTGCTGATATGGATAAACTAATTCCATACTCCCCAAATAGTGGATATGAATGGTTAATGGGCCAAAAACAGTCTCCTAGCTGGACAGGATATGTTTGGAATAAATTCACTATTCCCAAACATAAGGTTATATTATGGCTGATTTGCAGAGATAGACTGCAGACAAAGCTAAGGATTATTAAATTCTTCCCGGTAGACACTCTATGTCTACTATGCAAAACTGAAGAAGAGGATTGTCAACATCTCTTCTGCAAATGTGTATATACAACAGAAGTGTATACAGAGCTAGGAAAATGGACCAAGCATAAGTTTGAAGGAGAAACAATTGGAGATATATTTGATAGATTGAAGTCTGTTGGCCCTACTAAACAAAAGCTAAGTCTAATAGCTATATTCGCTGCAAGTGCAAATTTCATCTGGAAGGCAAGGAACCTA